TTTAAATTCTGTTTTTCTTAAGCATTTATCGCTTGGAAGGCGATGAAAAACGAATCGGAATGCTCAGCAATTGTTTGCATCCGAATTTATGTGCATTCAAATTGATGCGCTGACACGTTCGACAAAATCGTTGAGAGAGAGAGAGAGAGAGAGAGAGAGAGAGAGAGAGAGAGAGAGAGGCAGAGGGACAGAAAGAGAAGGAGAGAGTAATGGAAAGAGATAGAAAGAGGGAAAGAGAAGGAATGAGAGGGAAAAAAGTTGAGAGATTGATCGAAAGAGCTAGAGCGAAAGAGATAAGGAGAAAGAGCTAAGGCGAAGAGAGATAAAGAGATAGAGAGGTTGAGAGAGAAAAGGAGAAAAAAAAAACAGTTTACAAAGAGCAGCGAGTAGGAAAAAGAAGTGTTTTTTCTACAACATTTACAAAAAATGCACTTCTTTCCATCAAATTGATGAGTCAAAAATGCGTTCGCACTTGCGATCGATGAATCAAAAGATTCAAACCCATAAAGATCGGCATCGGTGTGTGTGTGTGTGTGTTTTGTTGTTGTTCTGTTGTTGGTGCCCGAAAATCCACTTGAACGAAATTACACGTACACGTAGAATATATTTTGGTTGTTGCGCTTCGTCGACGTTCATTACCCACTTCACAATCTCCGAATATTCCATTATTCCCCCGCGACACTGCAACACAATAAAAGATGTTCCATAAACAAAATGAAAAGCATCTTCAAAATTTGTCAAAAGAAGTACACACAGAGAGAGAGAGGAAAAAATCAGCTTCGAATGGGAAAAAAGACATCGAAATTACGGTGGATATACGACATATGCATAGACAAAAAACAAGAGCATCAATAGCAATCAGCAGCAGAAGCAGCCTCTGCTCGTTAATAGACATCTTTTTAAAAATTTGATATAATCCTTGTGAGAATATCTGGTGTACAGCCGAAACTTACTTATTCTTGGAGGCGCACACAGAGACAAAGGTTGTTGCATAAGCATGTCTCGGCAAAGGAATCATCATTTTTTGAGTAGTGAATACTTTTGGGCAATGTCGAAAAGCAGTAGTAGCAAAATCATACGGAAAACCATTATTATTATCAATGGAAATGGAGGGAAAAAACCAAGCCAAGCAAAGTCAGCAAAAGCAATTACATAAAAATCACAATCAAACGAAAAACGAATGATTTTGGTTTTTTTTTCTGCCGTTACGCTACTTCGGATTAATCTTTTTTGTGCTGCTGGCTGCTATTGCTGTATCTCGAAACACGATTTAGCCGAGCTCCAGTCGACGATATTCCACGACATGAGGAACACGTAACAATCGTCGAATGTTTTCATCCACTCGAAATAATTATGTGGATGCCATCAGTTTTCGCCATTGTGCCATTAAGTCGGTGTTGTGCATATGGAAAAATATATGGGAGATCAATGACCTACCTGCTACCGAAATACACCATACAATACACATATATATGAACGAACCATGACGGTCTAGAGACGACGATGGCACAATCACTCGCTTTTATTTGTGTGTGTGTGTGTTTGTGTGTTTTTCGGTACTTATCGTTACATTTCTTATTACTATGTCTGCTCTGTACATGACAAAACATTGCAGCAGGCACATTATGGATATTTTCCACATGTAAACACATAATATACACCGAAATAAAAAAAAACAACACACGAAACGTTGAAGAGAAGAAGAGCCCAGCCACTCACTAGTTTTATATTCACGAAAGATGAGAGCGAAAAAAAACACATCGCAACTCATTCACTGGCATATAATACCTCTATCATCTCCATTTGACACATTCAAATGACACCACCCGAAAAAAAAAATATGTTGCATAATTTCAATCGCAGTCAAAATGCCTATACAGGAGCGAAGAGATTTTGTACTTTGGCTTGGATGCTTGGTTCGGGTTTTTTTCTCTCTCTCTCGAGCCACATGTCTTTTGACTCAAGTGTGTAGACTTACCCGATCTCACTCTCTTCTCCCTCTCGGTCCTTCTTTTTGCCTTTTTTTCTCTCTCGATCTCTTTCACTCGTCCTCTTGCCCGTTTACTCTCGCATTTTCTCAGTCTTTGCTTCTCGCTTCCATTCACTTTTTCCTTCTGTCCTTATGTTTTTCTTTGACTCGCTTTCTCTTTCTCTTTCTGTCTCTTCCTTTTGGTCTCTCGTCCTCGCTTTCTATCTCTCTCGCTTTTTCTCGCTTTCAATCGCTCTCGCTCACTACTCACTTTCCCGGCACGTCAACGGTGTTTTGGGTAAATATGTTTTTGTTATGCATAGTGAGAGCTACACCGAGATATACAAAATACATCATATTTGGATATGCCTAGCTGGAAAAAAAAAATTAATGCTGAGATGTGAAACAATACGGAAAAAGCAGCAGCAACGGCAAATCTACTCCACAAAATCTCAAGTATGTCGAAATATTCGGAGAAAAAAGAATCTGACGATGGATAGAGTGAAAAAAGCGAGACGTTTTTTAAACAAAAGATTCGGATCCTTGTCAGATTTGGTGTATATTTTTTCAGTTTGTCGTTTTTTTTTCTTCTGTGTAGTTCGTCTCGACTTCCATCTCATTTTGCTATTGACACATACGCTGTTGCACCATGTATATCATCAACGGGTTGAAACTCGAAAATTAACACACACACACACACACACACACACACACACGAGAAAAAAAATTACGATGCAAAGATGTGAAAGTATAAATCTGCATCAACTACTTGAACCCACTTGAATTTGAAAGCAACAAAAAAAAATGGGAGAGAAGCTGGATCGTAAGCGATTGGTGCTTGAAATTCGATTTTCGTTTCGGTCTCTTTTTTTTGGTTTTTATTGTTTGTTGTATGTAAATACGACGCTATCAAACGATTACGTCATTGAGTGCAATTGAGCTATCGATCGGCTTTTCGAGAATAGGTGTTCGTCGTCTGTGTGACGATTTGAATTGCTTGGAATCGAAATAATTTTCCGAAATGATTGGTCGCATTGAAGCTAATTAGGGCCAGTTCAACACCATTTTTTCATATTATATCCATCCCAGTTGTATAACCATAAATAAAAGTCAAGTGTCAATCAAAAGGTTTTTTTTTGACAAAAAACTGACAGACTCGGTGAAAAACCGATTTTATCAGATTAAAAATGAATCAACATGCAAACACACAATTCAACCTGCTAATTTCGAGGAAAAAAATCAAAACATTTGCTAAAATAATATGTTTTCGAATCGAAAATTGACCACAACTAAAAACTATATGATGAAATAAGTGGGAAGGGGAATGTTGAATTAGGAAACCATTAAATGGAAATATAACACTTTTTATGAACCATTTTTTTTTCATTTAGAAACTATTTCGATTTGTTCTTTTATCTACGGGGATATGGTTAAAGTCAAACCCTCGAACATTTTCTATGGCCAAGTGTCAAATGACTGCAATAAAGTAGGTGACATATCGACAGTGGTAATTACTTCTCTCTCTCTCTCGCTCTTTTTTAACACGTAAACGTGTCATAAAAAGGAAAAATGCAATTAGGCCCATAGGCATCGATCACGCAAATGCCATTCAATATTCACAATATTTGTGTTTATTTTGAGGTGGTTGGCATTTATCAAGCAAATTCTCAAATTACATCGATTCTGAACATATGGTTACGCTGAACACTATGCTCTGATTCCGCATGTGTCCGTCTCCCTTCACTCGTATGCCGCAATGCATGTTGGTTTGGTGGAAAATTTGCGGCTTTTTTTCCGTTCGACAGATAACATCAGAGAAAAAGTCGTCATTTTTATTGGCCTGAATGATTTTTATGAACATTCAAAAACATTTCGTACGGATTTCACACATGTCACTATTCCTATAATTTTACGTTGAATGCAACCAACGCAGAGAATAATTCCATGTTGACTGCAACGTGAACAGAAATGCATTTATCAATCAATTTTCATCAACTTCATCAATGCAACTTGTTTTAGACGGTTTAAACTGACCATGTGTGGCAATAAAGTCATCAACGATGACAATTGTTGACTGAAAATTAGCTAATTTTATGGTTTACTACCGAAAATTGGACTATTATTGTGTCACCACGACGTAAGTGGACGATGTTATAGGCTATAACTCATAGTTTGTGGGTAGTAGAAGCAGAAACAGAAGCTGACGCTGAAACAGACGTCGGATAAATACACTGTTTGTAAATAGACACAGAATGTCAGAATCGAAATCAAAAATAGATGGAATAGCAGAATCAGCCATCAACAGCAGGAACAAATCTAAAAACTGTTATTTCATCACCTCCCTTTAAAAACCTGTTGAAAAAACGCGTCAATATTTCTTTGTCTAATCGTTAGACACAGCATTTGCAAGTGAAAAATCATATGTTGTCTGGCAAAATGTCGCTTTGATTCAAAATCTGTGCAATTTTTCTCGTCGCCCATTCAGTTCATTCATAAAACTGATGAATACACACCGTCGACTAAAATGCTTTTGTTCAATTACGATGGATTGGCATGGTATTTAATTCAGCATTTTGAACACACACACATACACGAAAAATTAGCTGAGTTGAACCGTAGATTTGAAATATATGTTTGAATACAATATCATTTAAGTAGCTAAAAATGAATGCGAAGGATTCCTTTTGGGAACATATTCATTATGAATATTTCAAAGCTGATTAAAATCCATGCTCGCTGTGTGTTTTATATGCATAAAATGGAATGAATGTTGGTAAAATCATCTTCATTCATTTCGAAAAAAGATAAAAACTGTGTGTTTTTGATGAATGAATGTAGTTCAACCGAGTGAACAGAAGCGCGTGTATAAAGTGAATACTATTCATTGCATAGTATATGATAATTCACATGTGAATTGTATGTACGTACACACACAGAGAGAGAGAGAGCAAATAAAAATGCGAGAGATGTCTTTCCAATTCAACTGCATCGTTTCATTTTGAGCATTTTCCAAAGTCACAAAACATTTTCAATTTTTTTTTCACCAGATTTTCTTGGGAGATTATGATGAATATTGAGAACAACGAATATATGAATTTTATTTTTATTTCAACAAATTTTTATGCATCAATAGAAAATCTAATAGTTTTAAATTCCATTCATTTAAGAAAGTGATTGATTATTTGTAAGCAAAAGTAAGTTTAACTGCAAATAATTTGTTAATGAAACATTGGTGCTGAACTTTGAAATCATGTTAAAGACAGATTCAGAAACGCGTTGTGAGCACGAGCCACATGTTGACTAAAGTAACCCATACTGCACGCGTTTCTCTGGTTGAATGGAATCGATCGTATTTTTCTAGAAATTTGAATGCACTTCTCTCATAATGTTCAACTCTTTCTCGCGATAGTTCTTGAAATAATTTAGCCATCATATTGGCTACTTCCATTACGTTCTTGTAAAGTTCGTCATTGGTAAAGTTGATTTCATCTTCTGATGGCAGCCAAAAGTCTGTCGAACAGATTACGCATTCGCATTTAAAATGATATCGCTCTTGACAAAATTTTTGAGAAAGTTCATCACGCCTAAACAATCGTACAGTTAGGCTAAAAAGATAAGGAAATTTCGGAAAGAAAACATTGTGGTTTCAATAATATGTTCAGTTTGTTATATGAATATTGATGAATTTTACCCATACGATATAAAAATCTGTTCGCCCTTCTTGATGGGACACATCACCTTGCAAACAAGACGCGCGTTGTTGCTGTAATAAACGACATTTGGTAAGCAGGAGTGGCTAATATAGCTTGCAAAGGGGTACAATGCATGTGCATGGAAGTTATTCCATCTAATTGTCGAAACTGTAGTATAGTTAGATGGAGTTAGATAATTAAATAAAACAAACACTTTTGTTAGTAAGATGGTTAAGATGTTTATTGGATAAAGTGCGAATCAAAACTAATCAGCGAGCTATGGATGCGTCGCTCTTTTATATCATTTCTTCGTTTACATTTTGAGGCGAACGAAAGTTATGAATATGCAATAACTTCCGTTGCATTATGATTCGTTTCCGTCATACAATGCTGTTGTGACGGTTGATTTCCGTTTTACGGATATAACGGCGCATAATTACCGTTTGGCGAATCAAACGGAAATGCGGGGGAGACATATGGATATGAGTAAGCATGAGATATGAATGAAATGTAATAAGCATGTGAGTATGTAAATGAGAATTGTCTCCTACTACAAAACATTGTGATCGACATCCCCCAAGCGATGCATCAATAGTAGTGAATGTTCGGCAATGTGAAAAAAAATGGAAAATCAGGTGTTGCAAAAAGCGCAAATGTTTCGTTGTCACGAATTTTGTATCAAATTCTGGAAACTGTATGAGAGTTACGTAAATTAATACTGTGTTTGTTGGAATGGATTCCAATTGTGATTCAGACAGTTTATCATGATTGTGAGTGAGATGAAATATTGAAAATAAATTTTTCTGTGCAGCAGTTAATTCGTCCGTGTGTTTGCCATCAAGAACATGCTCTATTATTCCCATTAAGAAATCCACGTCAGGAAATATAGCATTGGCCTTGCAAATCATTTTTACAACCAATTCAAACGTTGGATGTATTGAATCGTCATCTTCCAGATAATTGAAGCACAAGCACTTATGAAAGGACGCTTCCATACAATACAAAGATATGTTATACACTTATTTGAAGAATATATCGATGTACAAATCTGAATTTGGTGCTTTTTTTACCATAGGACATATGGCGATTTCAATTGTGGTCTTGAATATGTTACTTTTGATTGAGGCCACATTTTTACACAACTGAATTCACTAAATATCACTATTTTACTGAATGGACGTCATCGCAAAAACATGAAGTGTTCGCAATATATTTACAATAACATGGTTAGCTGATACCAAAAATTATCGGATTTTTTTCGTACATTTCAATATATGGTATCATCGCTTTATCTAAAGTGCAGAGCTGTTATAGGCACTGCAAAAGTGCAGGCACTTGAATCGGTGCGGCACCGAGCTCTTTTTAAAAGTATAATTCTTGAGTATTTTTGAAAAAAATTTCAAATATGCTATTGTTTTAAAGAAATAATATGATTTTATATTGCTGAAAAAAATATTAAATTAAAAATTATCGAAATTCATTTTTTGTGATTGTACTAGGTGCGGCACTCAAAATCTAAGTGCCGGCACCGATTGGGTGCCTATAACAGCTCTGCTAAAGTGGTTCAAGATTGTCCAAAAATAGCGGAGGATAACTGTTCAATTCACGCCGATAATTTCAATGAAAATCAAGAGATAACATAAGTTCGAGAAATATTTCCATTCTAAGGTGTTATCTATTTGAATTTAGTCGCACTTACCGATATCAAAAACAATTTTGCTTGAAATAACGAAGCGTTAACGATCTAATTAAAAGAAAGAATATTAAATAAATTGAAAGAAATATGAAATAGAGAGAAAGTTGAGTTTTGTGCATAAAATTGAACTAAAAATTGTTTCTCGTTGCAAAAATGAGATACAGGACATATATGGATACTGAATAGAATTCCTAACAAACATCATAATCTCATGCATGCTCTGAACGCCTGAAAAAAAATGTGTACAAATATTTATTCACTATGGTGAGTGAGTGTATTGTCTCAGTTGGTACGGTGTTCAATTATGCACCGAAGAGAATGCATTCTCTCTTGTTCCCTTTTCTTTCCATGTAAAACAAATGCAAACTGATTTTAGTCATAATGCACTGGATACATCCCAAGTATACATTTTATATCACGCAAGATCCTATCTCCAGAATTACTTATACCTCTCGGGCCGAGAGTCTCGGCAAACAAGTTAGCATTACAAAAAGTACATAAACGTGCTCTTAGAAAAGTGCAACATCTCAATAGACTCGATTCTTTGTCGTTTTTTCTGTTGATTTTGTCAACTCTAGGTTCACGCACACCCATTTCGAATTGAGTTCGAATACAAATTAGGGGCTGAAATTTCACTTCGTAACACAACACAAAAAAAGCAGCAACGTTCCAAGTGTTCAAACATTCTTGGTGTTACCTTTCAACAAACAATCGAATGCAGTGTTCAAGTACAGTGTGAATGCTCTCTTTTCTTGTTATTGTTTGTGAATCACAAACATGTGATCTAAATGTCACCTCCATGCACCAATTTTGAGCAACCAAACATAATAGAGCGTACTAATCAATTGAAATCATGTACTTTTCGTTCCAAAATGAGACGAAAAATTGTCATCCATGCGATGTCACCACCCTCTTATGTTGTCAATCGAGTTTTTGTCTGATGAAAAAAAAACCTGAAGAACTGATTACGACAAAAAAGAATCGATACAGTTGGTCGGGTAATAAAATGTTGAGAGTGCTTATTGCGACACATTTGTATCATTCACATTCCTGGCTGTTTTGTGTGTGTGTGATCACCGTCGTCGTTGAGTGTGTATTCATCAGGTGAGATCAGTTCTTTTTTCTCTGCCTATTTTCAATGCGTACAACGAAAGGGTTTCAAGAGCCGAAGGGTGCATTTTCGGCAATTGATTAGACCAGTTGCACTATTGTTCGGCGCAAGAATGAACGAGAGCAAAATTAAGCGGGTGCATATGTCGATGGGTACATTGAGTACATGCATTGGCGTGGGAAAATCACTTCCATTGTGCGCACCGAAAGGTTTTTGTGTGTCAACTACAATGCATAATAATGGAATTAAGTGGAAGTTTTTTTTTCTCCATATGCATCAGGTAATTTGATTTGACGATGGCATTGGATAATAAAGCCACTTCAAGTTCGATCGTTGATTTTTGAATGAATGGAATTTGTTTTTCTTTTTTGAACAAAATTAAGCGCGAAACGGATTTAACTAAACAACAAAAAATTTGGTTATTCTTTTGTACAGATCATTGACATTCTGCAATTGAGTCTTTCAATTGCGTCAAAAAAAAAATAAATACTTCTTTTGAAAATGTGTGTATCTTCTTCAAAACAGTCTTTCTCATGACCTATATGGAATATATTCCCATCCATATATGCTAATGGACATGTACTCATTCAAATGGATTCCTAATTGCACTCAATCACATATATCAGATCAACCTATCAAAGAACTCAACAACTCAATCTTTCCAAATGAATGGACTGAATTTACTCGGTTCGACGCATTAGGACAAACCGTCCGAAACAATGGAGCAACTCAACAGTAAGTCAAAGAGTATTATTATTCGTAAATTAAAAGCCATTGGCCGAAATAAACAACGCGACGCACAAGTCAAAGAGCAAAAATAATGATATAATGAAACGGCGGACTGAGGGATCCATTTCGCAGGCACATTCGAAACCAATGTTTTATTTTGACTTTTTTCCCCGCTTGTTTGCCCATGTCATTGTTTCAATTGTGTTTACCAGTTTCAATGGTACGTTTAATATGTACGCAAATTGCATCGGTTTAGATTGGATTGGTCTAGATGGGACACACATTCTCTGGATTTCACTGAATCATTTAAATGACGATTTTGATCGGTCGTCGCATATCACCGATGATATGATTTCGAATAATGCATTTTTAATACCGATTTCAACACAATTTACACATTTCAACCGTCTCGCCACGTGTCACACCGTTTCAATCGCATGCCCACTGAAGTGAAGGAGTACACGCCGTGTACTACACGCGCAACTATTCCAAACGTAATAATGAGTTTACAATATTGAAGAGGAATTCTTTCTTTTTTATTATAACAAGTATACAAACAGTGAAAAAACAATCGACTCAAATTATTAATTCGGGAAAATTCCGCCTTTAAAAATTATCCTTAACAAACCCATTATTTACCAAACGTTTAAAAAGTCGAACATTTTTTTTTAAATAAAAAATTGAATGATTGGCGAATAATGGGTTAATAGACAAATTCAAGAATATTTTCACGGAGTGAAATATCAAATGCGACATTTTCAGGTTCTTCCTATTTTATCGTATTCTCTTCAATATTATGTTATTTCAAACCAGAAACGCTTAGTAGAAATTATCCACTTTGAACTGTGAAAAATGAGCGATTGTCGACAATTTCATGAAAGAAAGGAAAGAACATAATAATTTGCGAAATGACAGTGAAGCGACTAGTGTCATTGATGTCAAAGAGCAGAAATAATGATATAATTAAAAGGCAAAGAGAGGGATTCATTTCGCAGACATGGATTTGATATTCGGAACTAATGTTTTATTTTCTATATTTTTCCCATAAAAAATGCCAATTTCCAATTTGCAAACGGATGGCTTCATTGCTTGAATTGCATTTACACGTTTCAATTCTATTGCCAACACAAAAATGGCATTGCCTTTGGAGTGGAGTTAGTTAAGATGGAACTTTACCAGTCGCATATTTTCTGGATATCATCAATTATTCTCAATAAAGGTCTTGACGGATTCCAATTGGCGCCAATTGCAATCAGACGCTTAGGAGGTGCTATTTCCACTATTTATATATTTCCTAATTAAAGACATTTTCATGTGACAATTGAACCAAGGACTTGAAATTCAGATTCTGTTCATTTCATCGTGATTTTTTTCTCTTCATTTTGACGTTTTTCTTTCGAACCTTTATCGTTTAGCGTTTAGCGATTTTGCGTTTAGCGATTTTGCGTTTATTAAAAACACTCTTTAAATGGGCGATTTTAATTGTGAGACGTAAAATGAGTGATTATGGGCAATTTGAGCCAATTGATAAAAGAAGTGTTCAATCATATATTGAAAATTCGCAAATTGTTATTAAATCATTCAAAATGGGCAATTAAAATTAATCCGCCTAAATTATTCTCTCAAGTCTTTGAATTGTCTGGTATTCTAATTGTATTTTTGAGCTGTCTGAAAAACTCAGAAGAAAAGGACATAACAATTTGCGAAATGACAAAGAAGCGTCAAGTATCATTGATATTTTTTGAATGGCACATGCGGGTAGTCACTGTTCTTCTGAAGAGTCTAAATGGTAGTACCCTTTTGAAAAAATATATTGATAGGACGACAGTCGAAGCTCGAGATTCGAGATTCGACAGTCGACACTCGGCACTTTCAATCGCAAAAATTGTTCGAAATCGACCAATTGCGCACTTGAGCATAGTTGCGAATACTCCAACCGTTTTTCAAGTCTATTTGGATACAATGTTACTAGTACTAACAACTATATACCTATTGCAAGTCAGTATGCAATACATTCTATGCATCCAATGACCGACGTAATGGCAAACACACAACCGTCAGGATTTCTGTGTTAAGAGCATTACATGTTGCATGATTTTATTACGGTTCATGATTTTGATCTCTTGAAAAGACATTCAAATCCCAGCGGCTCAATATTTACTTTACACCGAAACGTGTGCGCATCCGAAAGCATATTTTCACTTAAAAATATGCACACATCGCTATAAATTATCTACCGTGACGCAATAAAGATAGCGCGTGCCGCGTTTCTTCACTTCCGGCATTTTCGTTTCGAAAACACACACACTCACTCACTCACTCACTCTCAACCCCATTCAAAAAAGCGTTGCAGAAGTCGGAAATCCTTTTTTGTTGCAACAAAATATGCCAATACACCGGTTAAAACAACAACAACAACAAGCCGACGTAAGTGAATCGACAAATCATTCAACGCACAATCTAATGCATGCATCCTGCTGATTTGCATGGGAACGCAATTTCCAGTGGATTGCACACCCAAAAAGAGTTGCGGTGGAAATAACACATTGATCATTTTAATTGCACACATAATATCAATTAATTTGCATAATTTTTCTTGATTCGATTTTTCGATACCAAATAACAGTTTCGGGCCTCTCATTCAGAGCAATGCTCTATTACAGCACTCAATGAATTTGCATGCATTGATTGAAAAATGGTTGAATATTCCATCCATGGATGCATATTGAATGAGTGACTCATTATGAGTCTAATGTGAAATTAATACGTTTCCCATGCATTTGAGGCTTTAGTTTGGAATTTGGTGGCAATTTGCGGCACAAATTAACCGATTTTTCGATTGATGCTGTCAACACGGATGATGAACGGCTGCTTGCATTTTACAATGTTAAACAATGGCATTTCGCGTAATCACAACTAAATGAGCTACCAGAACAATATGCAAATCAAATGATGACACTCCAGAAAAAGTGCGTGTTTGTTTTTGTGTGCGATGTTGATTTATTCATGAACTGATTACAAACTATGAACCATACACATTTCAATAAATCTAAATATGCGCAACAGAATGGATAGACAGAGACACACGTTGTAATTATTACGCGATTGAATGGCAGTTTTGCATTCAGCTGGCCACATTCACATCATTTTATTTTAGGTATTTCTTCTCGCATGAATAAATTCCGTTGTTTTTTTAGGTTTTAATCAAAATGTAATCATTGAATTATGGCCGCTTTTTACATTCGTGCTCATAAATTGCAAAATTATAGCGGTTTTTTGGTACACGGTGGCATATCCACTGGGAAATTCATCGATATCATTTTCGAATGGGCGCCGATGTGTAACGCCTAAGCTATTATTATACCAATTTAGCGGGATAATTTGGAATTTTGGAGGTATTCCATGAACATTTTTCGGTTGGCTCATAATAAATTCATCAAAGATGAATATTTTAATGGGAGTGAAAAGGTTTTTTTTGGGATCTAGTGGTATTTGATTCAAATTCTACCGATACATAGTTTGAACCAAATACACCCGTCAACACTCAATTAAAAGGCTCAAGTTGAGTATAGACACTGTTCAAAGTGAATTTGGATTCATTTTAGTTTTTGTGTCGGGGTTTGGATGTTTTTACTGTTGGTCTTGTTGTATGACGTATACAAACACCATGGGTGGACCCAACAACTTTGAACCCAATCTTCGATCCAAATTGGATGTTATCGAATGGATAGATGAGCCGAAATCGAGCAAAATAGCCTTATATTTAGTTTTAAATATCCGTCGCCCATAAACCATCTGAAAATGTTATATCATCAAAGGTGGAGTCTATGGCTGGAATCAAATTGAGACATCAAACTGATTGAACATGAACGCTTTATCCATAAAAGATCATTTTGAAACCTATTTTCATATAAAATTAGTAATTTTGACATAATAGCATATTTAACACCTAAAAAAGATTACGAGACCTTCTGTTCAGTAAAACCAAGGAAAAAGTTTGCTTTCAAAAAAATGCATTCATTGCAGATGTGATCAGTGTGTCATGGCTTCACAGCATTGAATTGATTCGACTGAATACACTGGCACAAACAGATACACAAGAAAGTGCTTCCCACGACAAACAGCTGCTATTGCAATAAAAGTGGATTCAATTTGAATGATTCAAAAAAGTAAATCATACCTTTCGAAAGTGGTTGACCGCGGTTCCAACTGCTTTTATTTTTTAAAGAAAAAAATGAGTCTATTTCAGGCGATTAAGTGTAATTTTATAGATTTGCTTCAAATACGGCAACTCTTTGAAAATCATTACTTGATGATGGCCTGAAGAAAAACCGGTATTATTAGTAGCAACATCCCACACACACCTTTTTTTAACTCGATTTCGAGCATTTTGAGTCGTTTTCAATTTTTGGTTTGTATTCAATTTAGTGGTTCGTATTTAATTTTTTGTTGTTGTTCGTCGACGATCTCAATTATTCATTCTAAACATACTAATTTTGTCTGAATTAATAGTTTTGAACAGTAATTTCTGAGCGATTTCTGTTTCTCAACCAATTTAGTCTTTCACAATTTGAAATGCTGTAATTGGTTCATCGAGTCGTCCAATTTATCAATATTTCTGTCACCGATTTAATGGTTGTTTTAATGAAAAAAAAACAAAACGGTCGCAGACACATTTTATTAATCCATTACATTGTATCTATTTTGGCTAGTCAAATTGATTGTTCGCCACCATTTAGGTGTGATTTTATCGTCGACGACACTTCCATTCCATTTGGTAATAATTGTGTTCGCAATTTAAAATTCATTGCTCGCCGATAACCGTTTCTAAATTATAACTAAATGCATTGGACGAAAATGCATGGCGATTATTGGCCTCGGTCATTTAATATAAATGGATTTGCATATGCGCTGCGATTTCTTATCTAACGCCCAAACGGAATCGACGAACGAAGCTCATAACGGAATTGTGCAGTCGCAATGAAATGGAAAACAAAACGAAAGCAAAAAAACCAACTTGTAAAAAAACGAATTGCAAGTCCGAATAAAGCGTAGAACAGAACGTTTTAGAAATAGAAGTCTAGAACAGAATAGAAGTTCGAACAAAGCCAGAGCGAAATCGAAATCAAAGCGACGTCAATATGCAATTGTTCAATTCGATGTGCACAATTGAAATCGTGTATCATTATCGCATAATGCGAAGTTCAGTGGCACATCTTGGTCAATGGAGAAAAAAAAATCACTGTGTGAGCATTAAGCACTGTGACACACACACACACACATACAACCAACGATTATCAATGCATCCGATGTTAGACTAAAAGTCGTGATTCGATGCTAAATGTTTGAATTTAAATGAAGAGCCAAACGATGCAGCGCGCAGCAATATCGAGATCGAAAACCAGTCAACTATCAAAATAAATGAATAATGATGTGGCTTGGTGTTTTTGTCGATTAATCACCGTTTTATTGCAAACAAAATGCATCAATGCCGATATGATATGAAGTGCGAACGAAACGAACAGCGAAAAAAAAACCGTATTCAAATTTCAATTTAAAACAGCTGTTGCGTCGTGTTTTGTATGCCTGCATTTCATGCGATGCAAATGCGCTGATTATAGGTGAAGCCAATAATCGTGTTAGAGCAACAAAGACCGCGAAACATATTTGTTTCTAATATTGAGCTGCGGTTGTTATTAGTTGAAGACATTTTATTTATTTCCACGTTATTTTTAGATCAAGGCTAACGCGATGATAATGGTGCATACGTATACACACGGTTATATCTTGCATGCTCAATGTGAATCGCCACACAAATCTGTTGCAACAAAACAGCAAATGCAGGTAATAAAGTAATATAATAAAAAAAACACAAAGAAAAGTAGAAACGAAAAAAAACGGCACCAACAGAAAAAAGGTAAACAAACAAAATGTGCGACTCGCGCTCGCTCGCGCAGTTAAATGTTCAACAAGACCCGATGTTGTACAAAACATACAAAACACATGTGCGCTGCAACAGCGATATTTCACTTCTTATGTGCGCACGTCGCGGCTCTGGCGCAGTCTTATATTTTTGTGTGGTTCGGAGATTTCGTTTTTTTTTCTACGTTGCAGTGAGACTAAGTGTCGTTATAGATTCAAAAACACGATGTAATTGTCAAGCCATTAGAAGTGTTCAGGCGAAGAATGCCCGTAATTCATTTGCATTTTGAAGTTGGTCGAACGGCCGCATTTTTTTCGCTTCATTTTTACCCCTGACCCACGATTCGATGCACTTTTGCATTTATTCATTCGAACGAACAACCGAACGAACGGAAAAAAAAGATGTCAATCTTACTTTATGCAATCCCATGCACATGCGCAGTGCGCATTACGCTCTACAGTCACTTTGATTCGCTTCCAATATATTTCGTTAATTCGTTTTGTGACCAATGCATCGAAATGAGTTACAAGTACTCTTCCACTCAATATATTGAGTAGGTATACGAACGACGCTTCGCACAGTACTCTTTGCTCAATTGGCAGCAACGGAATGAAGTGCATCACATGAACAGATTGTTGAAAAAACGGAACCAGAACGAATAGCCAATCTATAGAACAGAGAGAAGCATTGACTCGACCGTCACGTCTATCGCTAATTGTGATCAATTTTTTCGATCGAACTCATTTAAAAGTGTGATGAGACTCACGATCTTGACCGGATTTTTCTTCCATTTCTTTGGATCAAATATGAAAATCAAATCTATGCATAGAGTTTAACTAGACTCTGATTACTTGAGTTCGTCTTTCGCATGCAAATCAGCTTCTATCAGTAGCATAACTAGAGGGGCCTCCTTTAAATAGAAGTCTTCTATTTATTGTGAGGAAAAACACATGAGGAAATTTAAAAACCATCAAAAATATTCGAATCAAAAATTGATGATCTTGACTCTATTCGCCCATAAATACGTTCAATTACATATCCAAGTCCATCTAATGGTCACTGACCATTGGTTGTCAACGACCACTGGTCGGATTCTGACCGTCACAAATGCAATGAAATCCACTTTCAGCTCCAAAAAATACGCGGAGAAATTTCGCACGGACTAATGAACCAGCGCCCCCGAAATCAATGCAAATCCTCATTTTGATACTCAAAATTCGAGTTTTCAAACCATCGAGCGTGTGCTGTATGACGCAATTTGAATTGGCTGTCTGATTTTCAAATTCAATGGGCATTTTTTTCTCGCTGTTGTTATTCAGTCGTTACTGTTATCGTTGCTAAAAAGCAAATTAATGTGATGCATGCAATATGCCTCGACTGGTTCACTCTGAAACACTGTGGGCCGCAATATCGCATGGTTTTTTTTTTGGCTGTAATTCTTGCACTGAGAGTGAATTTAATGCGGTTGTATGCACTGTGCACAATGCCAATAGACATCAATTGGTTTTGTTTTATATACACATATATCTATTCCGTCGCAAGCGTGAACGAATTGGTAATGGCCTCTCCCAACCATCAAGTTATTCATGTTTCATGTGTTTTTTTTTTCGTCTCTACTCTACATCAAGTGCTGTGTGTGTACTCGCGCGCAATATAATAGTTCTTACACGTGTTGCGCACAGAGTTGACGTTTTATGGATTCGCCAGCATTCGACAGACTTGAGACAAAAGCGCGCTCGAGATGGATGAAAAATGAATAGTGCTAATTTAATAATATGTTCGTTTCAACAATAAATGTAGGCTCTTTCGTGTGTCGTTTGCGTTCATTGTGTGTCACTACATATATTGGGATGCATATAGCGCAGGCATGGAAAATCTGCACAGCATTCGGCCGTGTCTCAAAACACATTAATAAATTAAATTATATATTGTAAAATTGCTAATAGATTATAATGAAACGGCATCGAAGAGAAACAAAAAATAAACCAGTCAACACACAAACGAAATCGAAATCCATCGCGAGGTAAAAGAGGCTGGTTTTTTTTTAATATGCATGTTCTATGTTAATTAGGTTAAGGATATTCTTGTGGCGCACACTCGTTTTTTTTTCTACTTCGTTGTTGTTGGCGTGTGTGTGTGTGTCTCGGAATATTTATGTTGCTGTTTGATTGGCAATTTTGCTTTGGATTATTTGCAGAATTTATAAGTTTGTCAATTTGATTTGGATTTATTCAAATGAAGACATTTTTAATTGAATGTTACTTGACTCGAGACTCGGAGTTTAGACAGCGGCCACCGCTTCAGTTCAGCTTGCGCTTTTGTTATAGTTGCAATGAATAGATTGATGTTGTAATTAGAGTATGGTCGAGTAATTCATGAGTGCCTTCAAAGTAGTCGTTCATTAAAAGCATTAGAAGACATTAAGGTCAATAGAAATATAAATGATACCTTCTTGATTACAGAACCAAATGATGCTATAGGTCTTTAGCTCAGGCAAAGAGCTGAGTTTGAGCTCAGAATCCAATCCATCCAAGCTCTCAAACTCAAAACATTGACTATACTACAATCTACAGACACTGAGAGTCTATCAATGAGAGGCACAGGGTCTTTATTTAGAGTCCAAACGTATTATTTCAGCTAAATCATAAGAAAAACGTACATTTCCATAGCGCAACATTTATCAAATGTTATCGATGCAAAGTCACAGGTGACATTTCTTGCAATTAGCACAGAGCTTCATTTAACCGCACCACTTAATTTGTCATCATTATTATCATCGATCTCCCACAGCTTTATTCAACTTTTGTATTTTTCGAAAGGCTATTTAATTCATTCAATTTTTTTTTCATTCGATTGCCTTTTTAGCACTTCTTTTTAACGGTTTTTATTATTATAATTGCATGTGTTGAAAATGTCAGTGGATACGTTGAACTTCCGATTATTATTGTGTGTCATTGAAATAGGCAGGCTGTCGGTAAGAAAAAATTCATTTCAATAAATTATATATGACCCAGTATCAACACCGCATCGCAATTAGAAGCCAGTGGTGCCTCAAGGAGAAATCATATTGATCGCACTGCAATCCCGTCATTCGTCTTCCTCTCATTGTTTCAGATTTAAATATTTATTTAACCCATGTAGGAAAATGGTGGAAGATTTTAGTCGGCTGTCGGGTTGGATTCGAATTTTTTTAGAGTGAAAAAAACCTACTTCTCGATATTTTTGGTTTTTTTTAAATTTTCTATGAATTTTCCATCATTTTTTAACATTTTTCGTCAGTTCCTGCATTTCATGAACTGAAACCTACGTTCGGTAGAGTATAAGAACTAACCAACCTGTTTTAAGCCCAGCTTGAACTTCTCCATGGAATGAAAAAAAAAACGTTAAAAGACGAAAAAGTTTTCGAAACATCAAAGGGTTAGCTCGAAATATAGTCATTTTTATCGCGTGCAGTAAATACGAGACTCATATTATGAGTTCAAGTGGTTTGGAGATGTGACGAAGACCTTTCGACTGCGTTTTTCCGTTGGCCTTTTCAAGTGTTTGACTTTACAATTTGAGATAAGTATTTTTGAGTATTTTGCCTGAATAAATGTAGCTCGGGTCCGTGTCGCATATAAAAATTCCATCAAAAGTACTAGGTAGCGTGAACTTTAACACATTTCTTGGAAGTCTATTAATACATAATTCGTTGGAAGTCACTCTCTTACTATCCGAATTCAACATGCCATACGTTTTGTTTTTCGGGGCTATAAACTCTGGTTTCGTGGAATTGCTTGCACTTTTATGCTGTAAATAGCATCGAATTCGGTTGTAAACAAACTGAATGGTGTATACGTCGTTTGAGATAGTGAATTAACTTCAAACAGCTGACCAAAAAGTGTTTATTTATGCATGTTGATGCGATCATCTGAGCGAGTGCGCTAATAGCTATGGTTTATTATTATGGTTGTCATACAATAGAGTTACTGTAAAGCGAACAGTAACAACAATAAAAGCAACAACAACAACAACACAACCGCTGTCGATGCATAAAATGAATCGCGTTCATTCGACAAACGCCTCAAAATGGGCAACGTACGAAAGACAGATTACGTAGTGCCATTGTAATTTATGCAATTTAACTGCAATGCACAGGCACACACGGTGTACAGTTAACCGGTGACATGCGATTTTTGTTTTTGCGCTCACGCGCGCGTTTTTTTTTGTCTCGTTTTCACCTTCGATCGCGGCCGTTGTTGTCGTTTCAATTTTACATGTCGTTCAATTATACACAATAAATGTTTAGTGTTGTGTGGCTGATGAATTTTCAAGCGTGCCTATAAACAGTGCAATAAACCGAACGTGTTCTACAGCTTTGGTGAGCCTACGCTTGAGCTCATATGTATGTGTATGTTTGATTGAGCACTGTGTCAATATTTAAGTAAGTTAAACGTGGGCAATTTAGCCAATAATTACTACTTCATTCTCAATGGAGTTTTAGTGCCTTTTTTTGGTCGTTCCTGTTTTATTCGATCAATTATTCCGCTTAAAATTCACCTCCAATTATCATAGTGAGCAATGAATACACACTGATTTCCACATCACGAGGAACCAACTGTACTATATATAACTCACTATAAAAGTGAGTTCCGAGCCCAACGCACTATTCTGCCTGAAGAGATATAATATTCTGTTTTAGCGTGTGTATTTTTTTTCTTCTCTCGCTCTTTACCGATTCGTTACGCCTTTCGCAAAATGTAAAACAGCCGTTTTTGTTTATGTCAACACTTTAGCACGTGGAAGAGTGAACTCTGCAGTGAACGAGAGCCACAGTGTCGACAATCATGCAAATCAGGCGGCAAAGTATAAAAGACGGTTGAACACTTTTTTTTGTGCCGGGAATCATATGGTTTCATTTTCTTGATGGAACTTTGTAATTGAACTAACGAAAGAGACAGTACTTTTTGTGATTGCTATAACTTATTGCATGATCTCCTTTTTACACTGACAATTTCCCATTCGTTCTGATGCTCAGAATCTAAGCATGAAAAAAATGAAGTAAAAAGTCACAACAATCATCGCATCAAGATTCAAGGTTCATCTCTTGTTCGGGTTTCGAGCTACAGATTTACATTTTCGATATGTTATTAATATGTTATTGCCCGACATATTTATTATTATGTTATGTTGGGATTTTTTTTATCTTAATAACGTTATTAAAGATTTGACATAATAATAACATATTATCTTAATAACGACCAAAAAAATCGCAAAAAAAAGTTTCATGTTTAAGATAATATGTCGATATGTTAATAAACATATTGGCCGTTATTATTATGTTATGTTGGACCAAATATACCGCCGTTATTATTATGTTATTAAGTATAGTTAATAATATGTTATTGCCCGTAAATCTGTATTTCGAGCTTTTGTCATGACATAAACTTCAATTGAAATTTAAATTGAACGATGACGTCAGATGACATGTTCCACAAAAAAGGTCGTTTTAATTAGAATTCTCAAAGCTGATATGTTATTGTTTGAAAAAAATGCGAATTCATTCAACCAAGATTAGTATTGTTGTTGTTTTAATCAACTACGTTAAATTCATTGCATAATTTAATCAATTTATTACGTAATTTGAGTATCAATGCTATGTTTTGAACAGTTGTGACAGTGCAAAATGTGATAAGGTGATCTTTAATACAGTTTTGTTCTCATTTTTTCATTATTTCTTTTTTTTAAGCCCAAATTTGACTTTTCGATAAAAAAAAATTAAATTTGAATGTTTTGGAAAACTTCCTGTCGAACTCGATATCCAAACATTAGAATTCGATGTTGAATGGAAAGTGTTTGTCGTGACGTGATTCGGTGAAATGTATCACGCGTTCGCCGGTGTTGAATGTATCAATGTACTTGATCTCATCGGTGCTGAGTTTGAAATCGAAGACGTCGATGTTTTCTTCGATTCGCTTAGGTGTCACTGATTTTGGGATTGGAACGCTTCCGATATCGATCTGTGAATAGAATTTAAATCATTGGGATTAAATTGCGAACAACTCATGTTTTGATTACAATGTGTAATCAAAAAATTGGTTAAGAGAAAAGTGAAAAATATGCTGGGCCCTCACTTCTGAGTAAGTGATAACAACTCTGATATTTAAAAAAAAGGGAAAAAATAGCAACAAAATCGAGATTAAAAAGCCAATTCGATCTATTTTGCTTACCAAATAACGGAAAACGACTTGTGGAACAGTTTTGTTGTACTTCTTCGCGATAGCAGTCAATTTGTCATCATACAAAAACGAAGGCTTCTTTTCAGCTGGAATCGGTCGACCCAATGGACAGTATGCTGTCACAATGATGTCACGCTCTTGACAGAATTTTATCAGCTTCTTTTGATTGATTTGTGGAGAAGCCTCGATCTAACAAGACGAATGAGTGATGAAATAAGAGTTATTTTTAGATTTTTCATTGAACTAATAAATTTTTTGAATAAAATCGATTTCTTGACATTTTTCTTGAAAACATATGGTGACGTTTAAGGACATTGAATCAAATTTTTATTTATATAAAAGTCTAACGTTCATCAGAAAATGATGTAGTTTTAATTTTCTAATGATGAAAAAAGTCAAATTGCCCGAAACGATTCATTACCTGATTATTTACGGGCTTGATGCGACAGTTGGCCAACAAACGATCTATTTGCTGACTGTTGAAGTTTGAAATGCCAATACTTTTGACGATGCCCAAGTCAACCAGTTTCTCCATTGCCTTCCATGTGTCAATATAATCGACATCGCTTTTTTGGGTAATGAGATTTTTTCATGTGATGAGAATTAAGAATGAAAACAAAATGAAAAAAAAGAAAGAAAAAAAACAAAAAATGAAGAAAAAACTGCGATATTTTTCCTCGGACAATTGACTCTCGAGTCTAACAGTCTTGTTTTATGAAATTACTGAATGAAACTAGACTCAAAGTGTTCCAAAACAATAAGTTAATTCAAAGTGTGAGTTTCAAACAGTACAATTTTTGTCTTGAAACAGCTCCCAAAATACTTACACATGTTCAAATGTGCCATCTGGATTCAACGGCCAGTCCTCAAACGGAGTGCGTTCTTTGAAAGCCACTGGATAGTGCATCAAATACAGATCAATGTAGCCCAATCCAAGTTTCTCACAGCTTTGACGGGCTGCTTTTTCAACCTTTTCCGGCTCATGGTCGGTGTTCCATAATTTGGTGACAATAAAAATTTCTTCACGTTTCACAACACCTTCTTTGATCTTCTCCTGAATGGCTTGTCCAACCTCCACTTCGTTCGCGTACAATCGGGCTGTGTCAAAGTGACGATAACCAACGTCAATCGCATGCTTAGTGGCTCTACCGGCTAAACCAAATGACTGAAATCGGTATGCACGAAATTTATTATCAATATTAATATTCACCGTATATTTGAAGATAGAAAACGAATTGATAATGGACGATAACAAATTTTTGGAATGTAAAACTAAAACATTCGTTTGTTTTGTTGACGTAAGTTATTTGGTGCGTACGAAATCGTGTATTTTCATTAAATTTGGATCTTTTATGTATACAACAAAGGTCGAACAAATGCAATGAATATACAATCGTCAATCGGTGATATTTTCTTAGAGCAGACCCATCAAAATGGATCACTTGAAACTTTGAATCGATTCTCAGAATACTCCAATTGAAGTGGAGAATAATTTGAATCGAATCATTCGATTAATTTGATCAAAAAATTATCATTTCAAGTGCCCGACAAAATTGATCTATTTCTGAAGTGTCGAGTCGATAGGTCGACACTGACAACTGATGACTGACGACTGTCAGTCTATTGATAATAACATTCCATCGTACATTCGTTCAACCAATCACTTTCCAAACATTCGTTGATAAAAACAGTTTTTATTTGAAAAGTTTGACTACATTCAAGCACTTATTTTCTACTTGACGTAAAACATTGAAAAAACACCGGCAAATGAAGTCAAATCCTCGGCTTGCTCATTATTTCCATACAAATTGACAGCTGGAATCGATTGATACAAAAGTACGACCAATTCTCTGTAATTTTCTGTCCATCGAAAACTAAATAACGAAAATAACTTAATTCAATGCTCACCTCGAATGTTCCCAATCCAAAACCGGGCATGAACAATCCGTTGTTCATGAGAATCTTCGGTACATTTGCCATTTTTCACACCAAAAAAGAAATTCCAAACTTTACAAAACTGAATCAAAATTGATGTTGCGAAACTTTTGACAACCGTACGTTGAATAAACAGTGCGGTCGTTTTTATTTGCGATGAAACTTTATCAAATTACCCATACATTTGCACGCGTATCAATTGAAAGAGAAATCAATACATGTACAAACCACTTTTGAGTGTCGTCCACTCTGACTGTCATATGCACAATGCGGTCGGGTTCGTGTGCGTTACATTGACAAGCAAAACATCACGAACACAGTTGTCAAACTTATCAAATTGAAACTAATCACCGCGCTGAGCACATACAGCATGAGTCTCATGCTATGAGATGAGAGAAGTGTATGAGAGTGAAGAGTACAGAACTATGAAACAATGTCACGCGCTGATTAATGTGCTGAGCTGTGTCGTTTTCAATGTATACGGATTTTGTTTGTTTTGAAATACACAATCACAAATTAACTCCGACAACAAGTTCGGAATTGAGCGCGTTTTTTTTCCGCTCCGAGTTTGTTTATGACGCCACTCATTTGCTATTGAATGGAAGAATTTTTGACCGATAGAATTTGTAAGGGTTTTCGTTTTATCCAATTGCAATACACAGTTTGTATGTGAAAAAATTCGCTTTTCAAGTACTCATTTCCTGACCCAATTTTTGTTTACTGAATAAAACTCGCAGGGAGTTAATAAAAGGAGAAAAAAATATGAAGAAATCTTGAACAAAAAGGCACGAAGAATGAACAGAAGAAATGATAAAAGGAAAAAATTATCAAAAGAAATTACCCATGAAAAAATGTAAACCAAGTCTACAGCTATATTTTGAGATAAACTTGGTCTATACCTGGTCTACAGCCGAATCTAGACCACTTTTTGGCGGGATATTGCTGTAGATCAGGTGTACGTGGTCTGAAATGTCAAAGGTGCCTCCCAGTTTTGCCGAATCTTATAGAAAGTCAATATACGAATTTGGTCTAGATTATGGTCTTTGCTCGGCAAAATACAGCTGCAGACCCGGTACATTTTTTTTATGGGCAGAAGGCAGAAAATTGTCAGCAAAAAGGAAGAAAAAAAAATCTTAAGGAATGAACAAAGTAGATCGCAAAGTCGATATCACCGCCTTTGTATACGAATCAGTTGGTTGATTTTAATTACAAAGAGTCCATACGAAAAAGTCAATTTTTGCACAATTTCTGCCCATATTTCGTTTCTATTCATCAATCGTTCGTTGAACGAACTTCGTTCTGTTTAGAATTTCGTTCAAATAAGAAAAAAAACCAACTGTTAATTGAATGAAATCGTTTAGTGCACTTGAAGTGGAAGCTATTATTAGTGCGTAACCGTTTTGTGGTTGTCGGCAAAATGGCATTTTCACTTGTTTTTTGTTGTTGAATGAATGGAAAATAATGGCCAGGCAACGAGCATTCAACAGTTTATTGTGTTAGGTCAGTGAACTCGGTGTTGTTGTGCATATTCGATATTCCCTGTTCTCTCCTCGCTTCCTATATATACGCACAACAACAGCAGCCCAGTTAATTCAGTTTTGTGCGCTACACACATAGTGAATGTGGAAGAAAAGTTCAATAAACTGTTTGCCAATGCACTCATAATTATTTACAGTTGGCAGCAAGAGTGGTACATCCTTATAACCGGTGGCATCGTCGTTTAGCAACTCATCGAACTGCTGCTATATATTCTTATTATAAAACTTGCGTATTCTTATTACACTCGATTGCATATATACCTACGTCGACCAAAATACAAACAACGCTAAATCGTTCGTTGATGTGTTTTGCGTGAGCAATGCTCAGTGAGTACTGAGTGCGCGCGGGCTAGCACATACATACGCGCGCGATGCGTGTAAATTGCGTAAAATTCAATACTTAGGCAACACTTTTAGTGTGTATATTATATGCATATAAAATGCGTGGCGTATATTGGCATAGGCAAGAAATGCGTGCGTGCTTGCGTTTTTAGTACTTGGAGTAATTCTTGTTTCTAATTTGCGAGTGTATTGAAAAGTCGATTTACGTTTTTTTTTCTACTTCTTTGCTCTGTTGTTTGCATCGTTTGCAATGAAGTGTAGTACGGTAACAACAAAGACACGTACTTAATCCGCACGCATATTCTGGTCTTACTTGTTGAAATGCAAATTGTCGTTGTGAATGCTCGGTGGCAGATGGCTTGTCCGAGAAGGAGAATGAGACACGTGTGTATATTAAATGACGACTTTTTTTTACCTCCTTTATCTTATTATAGGGAAAATATATTTCTTTTCAGAATGCGTGAGATAACGGTTTGCAAATGACTCATATTCTAGTTTCGCTGCAGCCGCCGAAGAAAAAAAAAACAGTAGAAAAATCGCATATGAAAGAAAATACGTTTGAAACGGAAAAAAAAGTTCTAAAGGCGGTTTTTCTTGTTCGATTTATTTACCAAAGGACATGAATGCGTGTTATTTGCAAACCCTAAAGCGGCAATTTCATCGCATTTGTGCAAAAAGAAGCAAACACAAAAAAAAAAGAAATCACCACTCGTCTCACATGCACACAAATAAAAGAAGAAAAGGAATCTATAAAGTCCTTTTAGTCAAATGAGAATAAACAACACACGCATATTTCGAGAGTGAATATTAGAAAATCGTTCGTTAACCCATTTTCCTAGCACATTCTGCATACCCCTTTATTTTAAAGCATTTTATGCAAAGTACTTTGGCATTTTTCTTATATGTTTGAACGCGCGAGTGGCTTTTTTTTCTCTCTCTCTTTCTCTCTCTCTTTCTCTCTCTCTCTTTCTCTCTTCTCACACAAACACACAGACCCAATGGAGAGAACATTGACACTAAGAGAATTTCAATTCACAATCGATGCGAACAAAATCTACTTGAATAAAAGGATTTTGCAAACGATGTTTTTTTCTTGCGCTGTCGCTCAATCCAAGTGCAAAATCATTCGTCGCCATTGTGTCACAACAGTAGCATCAATGCAATGCGATGTCGCCCTATGCGATGGATGTGTATTTATGATGCCAATGTTTCGGCACAGGACATGCATTGCAATTAATTTTGCGCTGGTACACAAACACGCACATTTACGTGTGTTGGGTTTTTGTTTCCGACTTGTTCATTGTTCACTCAAACGTAGACAAAAGCTGAACTCTTCTTTTGAATTTGTAATTTTTTTCTCTCTCTGCTCAGTTGCCATTTTTCTCTGCTGAAACCCTCACGAGGTGGAAGGAATGTGAAGCAGCAGAAGAAAGAGAAATATGATGTCAGTGGGTAAGTGGGCCACATAATCCCGTATACAGAGAAGACCATGCAAAAATTGCGTATCTCTCATTTTGCATACAGGCAAACCAAACAATACACTTTGTCAGAAACCCGTTTGCAGGCACATAATCGACAGTTATTTTCCCTTCTTCCTCTCTCTCTCTCTCTCTCTCTCTTCGTGCAACGCAGATGATTTAATTGCACTGACGTTGTCATAGAAATTTGTTGTTGCTATTCCGGTGAGCCCCTAATCCGTCATATTCTTAAATATTTTCAATTAACGCTCGAATACGCGCAGCGCACTCCTCGTCATAGTCAGTGCCACTGACTACTCCAATGCATCAACCCTCATATGCATATATATGAAAAATGTGCATGGAGCTAAAAAGAGAGTACGAACGGATGATGAAAATCCGCTTCTCATTCCCACTTCACTTCTAGCTGCCGATGCTGTTGTCACAGAATATTTATACCCCGTTTGAAGTACCAGTATTTTACCATTTTTACCATTCCTATCATCATCATTCTTCAGAGAGCAGCGAAAGAAGAAAAAAAAACAGTTTTGCCGCTTTTTTTCACTGCATCGGCCCTGGAAATAATAATTCATAATTCATTGCGGAGATGCTTCTTGTATTGAAATTATTGAAATGGTACATTTCCTTTTATAAATATGTCACGTTGTTTGCAATACCGCGTACATAATGCGTACGAGGTAGCACCGTCCCCATCCTTTTTGTCGACAGTTTTCAATAGAGTGAAGAGAAGAAAAAAAAACGCACTAACTCTTCAATCCTCACGCAATTTTATATGTGCGTAGCGGCTTAGCCGCGTTCTCCTCTTCCTCACTTTGACTTGGGCAAAAAGGTTTTTTTTTGAAATTTCTTTTACCGATACACTTTTATTTTACATCCATCCACTCACGCATTTCTCTCTATCAATCACCGTTAAGATGCGAAAAAAATCATAATATGCGCAAAACACACACACGGTTGTGTTTTTCACTGGGACACGAGCCATAACATTGACATGAATACAAGAGAAAAGAGATCGGTAAGAATCATAAATGGCTGAGGGCCGCATCTAATTACATATCAACGCTGTAAATGAAACAAAAGGCAGTGAGCGAGAGAAAGAAAAAGAGAGGGTGAGAGGAAGAGGGAGAATTAGAGGGAGTTAGCTAGGAAGAGAGAGAGAGAGAGAGAGAGAGAGTAAAGAGAGTGCGTAAGCACACACACACACACACACACACATCTTGAACTTAAAAAAGGAAGCAAAAAAAAGTATTGTGCTCCATTGCGTTCCGTAACAGTCGGATAAAATATTTAATGGATCTTGTGTGTGTGTGTGTATTTTTTTACCCATGGCTTAATGATTGCTTCTGTTGTTGCCCGATATATCTGGTGAGTGTACACAAGAGTTCGAAATCACACACACGGATATGGAAATATGTGCATCGCTGCTTCAAAATAAAGGGTTAATGTGTTGACATTTCGAACAGAAATACAGACAAACCAACTTTGATCGTATCGGGCGAATCGTAAACGATGCAGCACGTATGTGTTGAAACGGATTTTGCATCGGTATGCAAAACTGAACTGAAACGGATTCACTCGTTTGCACTGTATTTATTCGAGCGGTGGAAAACAAAAACCAGTTCAATGAACTATATTGCAACCGTTAGCTTAAACAATCCCATGGAAACACATGTTATCATCTCACCAACACCACCATCACCACAGCTTTGCTTGAATAATAAAACCCTATCTTTTCATTCCGGCACTGTTTTGCCGTGGTAATTCCATTTGATTGCATTTCATGCAAAAAGCAAAATAATAATCCATTTACTCTAAACACTGAGATACTTA